ATCTTCAAACTTGGACAACGGTGCAAAACTAATATAAACAAGTAAGAAGTTATAGTCGGGCGAGGCCGACCATATAATACTCTACACCTGTATACGAATAAAATGTAATTCAGTTTTCATAATAAATCATTTAAGTTGAATTATACCTTGCCTCAGATATACATAAACCATTTATTGTTTAATAAAACTGTGGATATTTAAGTAAAATTTTGATGGAGGCTTTTTATAGGGGCTAGGGTCAAATGAGGCCCTATAATTATAAAGTTCATCAGGGTCATCAAGGCTAGTATAGAACTTGGTTTTGCAGCTTTTTGTCGAGATACGAGTATATTAAACATAATTATGAACTTAAAAGCCCTATTTGGCGGGTTCAGTTGTATGGGGCCTAGGAGAAATAAAGGACCGATGTTAACTATTTTCAATAGGCTTCGTTTACAGTCCCATAAAAGATCTTGTGCCAAATTTCATTAGATTATCTCCAAAATTGCGACCTGTAGTTTGATTACAAGGTTTACAAGCTCTATTCGGGGGTTCAGTTGTATGGGGGCTAGGTGAAATAATGGACCAATGTTAACCATTTTCATAGGCTTCGTTTACGGTACAATAGAAGATCATGTGCTAAATTTCATTGAATTATCTTCAAAATTGCGATTGTAGTCTGATTACAAGGTTTACATGGACGGACAGACGGACGGACATAGCTAAATCGACTCAGAAAATGATTCTGAGCCGATTGGTATACTTTAAGGTGGGTATAGGACAAATATTATTGTGCGTTACAAACATCAGCACAATCACAATATACCCTCCCCACTAAAGTGGTGTAGGGTAAAAAATATGTTTGCTGGTGAAACTCACACATATCTCTCCAAGTTACTTAAACGTTATATATGTCATTATGAAGGCCTCATCTTCTGCTTACTGACTCATAAATGCTTTAAAGTACGAAAAAACGGGTTTTTATCCGTAACTCAAGATTTTGGAGGTGTTTGGCAAATTTCAAAAACATATTCTTATTCTATTCGGATCCACCTTTCAGAAAAATAGTATCACTTCAGTGGTTGAAGACACTTCTATAAACCACATTCATTCTAGAACTAGATCATATACTATGTGATGGTCCGCAATATTGCCCATAAGGGACGAAGTAAAATACGGGAGAAATGGATGCATATATGCACATACATTAGGCCCATTCAAACTGTGTGGGATGCAAAATCTTGTTTTTATTACCCCTCTAAAAATTTACCAGAGCTTTGTTGCAAGACCAGCGTTGACCGTTCGTGAGCTGGACCAAATTTAAAAAAGTTACGTATAAGTTATTATACCCGACACCACTGATGACCAAAAATATTGGTTCTATCCCTTTAGTATATTGATAATGGTATATCTAGGTCAAGCGCGGATCCACGGTGGGGGGTGTTGAAAAAGGCAAATTTCCCCCCTTAAAATCGAAAATTTTTCATACAAAATATAAAAACAAGAGTTTTTATATGGAGGATAGGAGCAAATGTGGACCGATCCCGATAAAATGGGCTGGATAGATTTTTATTTATATAATATTTGTCTCTGCTGTCTGTCATTGCAATAACAGTGTTAATAAATGAATTGCGGATATTCAAGTCACTTTCTGAAGGGGGCTTTGTATGGAGGCTAGAGGTCAAATGAAGTCCGATCATTTCAAAATTCATCAATTTATCAAGTTTGTATAAAACTTGGTTGTGTGAACTTTCATCGAGATATATTTATATTATACATAATTATGAGCTTAAAAGCCCTTTTCGGGGGGTTGAGTTGTATGGTAACTAGGTGAAATAAAGGACCGATTTTCGTCCTTGGGACAAAACAAACGTGTATTCCAAATTTTATCAAATTATCTTAAAAATTGTGACGTATACTTAGTAACAACGTTTACGGACGTTAAATCGGCTCAGAAATTGATTCTGAGTCGATCGGTATACTTTAAGGTAGGAATAATGCTACCTTCGAAGAAACGGAGTACACACAATTGTAGTTCTTGTTATTTTATGAAATGTTAAGAAAATGGCGCCACTTAATACTGTTCTTTCCCTAGTCCAATGTTCTTGAGTATGAATACCAGGCATGGAAAATTATATACATTAATAAAAACTACTACGTAACAAAATTATAAGGGCCAAATTGCGATATTGTTTTATACTACCGAAAATTCGATAGATTTGAAACTACGTAATTTTAACCCTGTATTACTTATGTCGTTATGGGAAGAATCAAATATTTTCAGTATACTTTTGACTTTTTAGATATTAACCACTATCAAATTGTTTTATACATATGTATGTCTAGGGGGAACATTACAACAGAATTAAATTTCAATTAGATCAACTTTGCCATCCCTGCTTAACATCTTTAAACGCCATATTACTTGTGATATGCAAGTGTATTTAGTACAAATATAAGCATGTATGGGCATGATTTGGTTATTAGTCGTATTGATGATCCTGTCTTGTTTTTAACTGCATACATCCATTTATTTAGTTGATCCCATCTACTCATCCACATACTTTTCTGCTTTTTTTGTCATTATACGTACCGATGTTGTTTTTATTAATATTGTGGTGCATTATAGTAAATTAAAACTACTACAGCAGAAAAAAAACTTAACCAAAGAAATTGTTTTTCTTTGGTAAATTAAATGTTTTGTAAAGTTTTTTTTTTTTTCATTGAAGTTTTATTTTTGCTCTAAACAGCAACATGTAATATTTACAACAACTTAAAAGAAAAAAACAAAAACTAAAATAAAACATGTTTACGAGAGTCTTTCTTTATAACTGTTGAACAAAATTTTTAAAATTATTGGTTATTTCGCACTTGCAGATTATCCATCCAACCAACGATGGCTACGAATGCCATTCATTCGATTCGACGACGATGGTTGGCTTTTTCGAATTTTATTACGCCAAATATTTACGAAGTTGAAGAAGAAAAAAACACAACTTTTAAAAATAATAATACAGTAATCATACGGTTATCAGGAGTTTAAAGACTTTTTAGTTCAAATGTTTTTTTTTTACACAAAAGCACAAATTCTAATAAAAGAAATGAGGAAGTACTTTGAGGGAAATTCTTTGTAAAAAGTTTTACTATTTTAGGTAATGAAATTAATTATTGGTAGTTTTTAATATCCTTTAATGCTGTAATACTTTTTTCGAAGAGGTACTCAGGAGAGTGATGTTGATATGGTTCTAATAGGAACAAATTTGAGCTCTGGGCCCAAATTATGTCATACGATATCGATCGAAATCTCCATTTAGATTCTATTGAGATTTCAATCGATATCGGATGCCATAATTTCGGCCCAGTATTGTATGATGACAACTACTCAAGCTAAGACCGCAATTTCGATCACAATTAACCAAAATCGTGTCTTTGTACAACTTATCTGGTAATCAAATTTGCATATATATCTATTTATATAGTTTTGTTGATCCACTATATACTTTCAGTTTTTAGATCTGGTGCTATATCTTGGTTTAAGAGAGCTTCGATTAGTTCTGGTTATAGAAGGGAAAATAACGCGAATGGGTTGTTAGAATATTTTTTTTTTTTTTAATTTTTATTTATCTTTATAAAATCCTTCATAAACTTCCTAATCAGCCATCGAAATTCCATCAACAAGCATACAAACACTAATAATTCCTAAACTTACAATTATCATCCAAGTAAAATATCATCAACTATGAGTATTTTGTTTTCAAATTACTAACGATTATCACAACATTTTCAATAGATAAATACACGTTTCCCTATCTGTTGTTTAACAAAACTACACAGCCTTTATTTAACCCCTTTAAAGTGTCTTAAAGATTGTCATGATCCCCTCAATCGACAAACAAAGTACTAGGAAATAGTTCATCAGAATTCCATTGTTGTGCTAAAGCATCGTGAAACAAAACAAAATAATTTTCAAGCAAAACTCTTAAATTAGCAGACATTAGTTCTATTGTCTTGACAAAATACTCAACTATTGTTTGGACAAAATCACCAGGGGATTTGTGCAAAGTATGCAAATGAGTGCATACACATACATACAAACACACACGAACTGAAAGTGGAAAGTAACTATACGCGCAAAAGAAAATTCCATCTAAAATCGTTTAAACTCTTTCGCTACTCACGCGTTTAACCCTTTCGAAATATCATGCGAAATGATACGGGGATAAAGCGCAGCAAACAGAAATTTCCTAGTACCTGATTAAAACAGGATAAAGCAAGATAGCTAAACGGACGGAGTAGTATGTTTGGAAAAGATTAAAACGGAAAAAGACGCTAAAATCCGATTAAAGGAACCGGATTTAATAATTTAGCAAAATTAAATGACAACAACAGAACAATAGCGTGGACAAGCAGGTATAAGCGATAGACAACTTTTGAAAATTGTTGAAAATTACAAATGATTTGAGTATAGGATCAATGAATGAATCCTGAGGCTTTCATTGATCTTGGCGATCAAAGGGTAAAGAAATTCCCTTTTCAATCAGTAAACCAAGTTGACATGCAGGTAGATTATAAGAAGGCGGATTGTGGGCCGCGTTTGTGGATTTGATAAAGGAGCTACATTCGCACAAAATTTCTGTGTGTGTGCGCATCTTAAGCTTAGCTCAGTTTAGTTCAGCCAGTTCAGAACATCAAGAGTTAAACGTGGATTCAGTAATCCAGTAGCAGCGTTCTTGTACGCGCACACACATCGAGCAGGAGATTTGGAAAATGTTAAACAAATCATCGAATTAAAATGCTATATCCGTTGATTAAAAACATTTGTAAATTTTAAGGATTTGTTCAGGGGCTTTTGTCGAAAGCAAGCGAACGAGTTTTAGTATTTAAACTAAAGTGTCGCCGAGAAATGTCATCAGTCTCAACTCAGCAATCACAGCGAACACACACACACACACAGCTATTACACTAAAATAAATTTTTATATATATATTTGAAGAAAATTAAAATAAAATAATTTTAAAACAATGGCTCCTGTATTCCAATCAAACTTCTCCATACGCTCTTTATTGTCGGATACTAAGACCTGTTTGGAGGCAACAGAAACCAACTCTTATATACCCAGTGCTCCCATCAGTCCTTCGGTATCACAAACATCAGAGGAATTATCAAGTGATGATTCTTCTTCGACCAGCAGCAAATCACCGGATGCTAAGCCAGCCTACACCTACAGTGCCTTAATTGTTATGGCCATTAGAAGCAGTCCTGAGAAACGTTTAACTCTCAGTGGCATTTGCGAATGGATAGCTGAGAATTTTGCCTACTATCAAAAAAATAAGAGTGTATGGCAAAATTCCATACGCCACAATCTCAGCTTGAATCCTTGTTTTGTCAGAGTTCCCCGTGCTCTAGATGATCCCGGCCGTGGCCACTACTGGGCTTTGGATCCCTCCGCCGAAGATTTAACTATTGGTGAAACCACTGGCCGCCTAAGACGCAGTAATAATGCCATGATAAATCGTTCTTTCGGTACTGGTGCCATACGCTCTAAAGCTTCATTACACTACGGCGCTGCTTATGGTCATCATCCCTATCATCAAACCATGTCAAATGCCATGGCCTATGCTCATCACTATACCCCAAATGCCGTCTACTTCCCCACTCCCGAAGAAATTAGAATGGCTCAACAAACTGCTCTGCTACAAAGTCAAAGGGAACAACAAGCTGCCTGGTCTAACTATCATCATCATCAACAAAGACAACAAATGCAACAGTTGCACTATCATCAACAATATCTTATTCAACAGGGAGGCATTCCCATGTAATTCCTCTAGAGGGCGGCTCTTATGTAACAGTTCTGTTGCAACTTGCTCGAAGTTCTTCAAAAGGATATCACTTAGTGATCTTTTAAATGTTTGACATAGAATTTCAGTGAGAAATTTAATAGAATTTTTCGTATTTATTCCAAAGACTTTGTATGCGTAGAACGCGCTAATTTAAAAATAATACTTTTGTAAAAATTCTAAATTTTATGTAAATATCTTTAGATTTAAGTAAATAAATATAAATAAAATCGTATATAGGAAAAATTAAAATTATTGATTTCTTTTTTTTTTTTGAGGGGTTTTTAAAGAAGAATTTTTGATTTCATAAACAAATTTTTATACCCTACACTACTTTAGTGGGGAGGGTATATTGGGTTTGTGCTGATGTTTGTAACGCACAAAAATATTGGTCCTATACCCACCTTAAAGTATACCAATCGGCTTAAAATCATTTTCTGAGTCGATTTAGCTATGACCTTGTAATCAAATTATGAACACATTTTATTTTTGTAAAAGATGTAGGGTATTATATGGCCCGACCATAATTTCTTACTTGTTTTATTTTATAAATGGTTTATAAAATTTTTATTTTTATGGAAATGTTGTTTTTATGGAAATGTTGTTTTAATTTTAATTAATAAAAAAATTGCTTGTACATTAATTTATGTATTTCCAATTCATTTAATAATCGATATTACTAAATCTATACACATTAGGGCGACCACTAAACTAAATTTGTTGTTTGATAAACTAGATCAAAGAAAACAAAAAAGTTCTTTTTGAGATTTTTATGTCATATATAAAATGCAACTTTAATGATAAATATTTGCATAAGATATGAATTTATCCCGGTTTTAACCCATTGCATTTAATGGCCTTTTGTAAGATATTACATTTTTGGGAAGAATAACTTATATTTGTGGAAATTGCTTCTGTCTTTTTATGCTTGAATTTTTTATTACTACCGGTATTTTCATTTCGATCCTATTGCCCATTTCAATCCAAACATTAGGACTTTTTAAGGGATTTTTGTTAATTTTGTTTGAGTTTCCTTACTCCTTACTCTTATTCATTCTCTATAACTCTATTTCATTCCTTAAGCAGACAGACCATATAATGAGGCTTGTCATAGAATCCAATCATTGTCGGAATTGGTTTCATGAAATCTTATTCGGTTATTTGCTCGATTATGAATCGTGTTCTCGATCGAACACAAAACTGATGATATTAACTTTTATTAAATCTGATCATGTTTTTTGAAGCGTTCAAATCCAATTCCGACAATTATTGGATTCTATGACAATCCCCAATGTAATGGAAAAATAAGGGAAACTGTAACTAATTTTTTGGTGTTCAGAACTGGAGATCCAGTGAACGTCGTTGTTATTGAAAGTAAATTATTAATCATGGCATTACCAGGAGTTTCCACTATGAGCCTTAAACATTTTAAGAGATCCGAAAACGAAGATCAGAAGGTACATAGTTATTTCACCACATAGTCATAGGTACTCACAAAAGAACTTACTTTTCAATGACTACTACATACCGTCTGCATTACTTAGAAGAAGTCTGGTAAAGACTTACAAAAATTATTGTTTTTGTGAAAACTTATAGTAGACTTATAGTATACACGTATGATATTTTTCTTAGAAACAAAACTACTTACTTAATTCCCTATTTGCAGGCGATACCTTTTTTATAAGCGAGCGTGCTTCCAATGTTATTCTCGTGTTAATATAATTACTAACACTAATGCAAATGGTTTAAGTAAATTACATTTCAATGTAAGTTTTTGTTGGGCCAAGCAAAAATAAAACTAAGTGCTTACAAAAGAATAACAATTATCACCACTTCAAAAGTAGCACTATTTTTTCAATGTTGAAGATATATTTTTTGTTCTTACATTTTAATGATATAAAAAGTGTTATATTTGGTCTTTTGTATTAAATGTTTCTATTGTCCTAATTAATTAAAATTACTTCTTGATAATGACATCAGAAGAAGTGAATTTGGAATCAAATAAAAAGGGCATCCCTCTTATGACAGGTCTGTGTTAAAATCATCACTTCTTCAGGTCTTTTTCAGTACTTCCATGAAGTAAATTCTACTTCTTTTTCGCTTCTTTGTTGCTGGGGGTATTTAACTGATGTTATTTAATGGGTCCTAATATCATGGAATAGTTTCATCTTCCAAATAAGTTTGTATTTCATTGTAGTTCTTCTATTTTTAATATGAAATATTTTAAATTTAAAGAATTCTTTTGGTCTATCATCTTATGTTGGCACAAGCTGATTTGCAAATTTTTAACAATGGTATTGCAATTAAGAGTTATTTGATTTCAATCACAGTAGTTATTAATGAAATATCAGTCTACTTCGGGAAATTAACTCTCATCTCTAGAAGAAACTATATTAACTTCATATGAAGGTGACATGTCGGATTAACGTTTGTCAAAAAGCGCAAAAGTTTTTGGTTTAGTGATTTTGGATGAAATCGGTCTATGAGATATACATAGTTTGAAATCTCAAAAGTTTGTTAGTAATCCTAACAAAATTTAGTTAAAATCTCTTAAACGTTCATAACTGAGTTATAATAAGTAGAATTTCTATCAAACTGACCTGAGTCCCTATATTAGTTTGTTCTTAAATAATACAAATGATTTTAATCAACATAACAAGGCCAATGACACATATGAGAACCCTAAACTGAAACTAGTTTTGAATATCCATTCATTACAATACAATTCAAACTGTAACTAGTTCGTTCTCGATTTTCAGTTATGTTGTTGTCACAGAGTTAACAGCTAACAAATATCACCATATTAGGAAATTTTAATAAAAAATCTATATAGTAAACCGAATAATGAATATTTTTAATATGAACTTGCTGTACTAAAAACACATTTGCCCATTTGATACCATTAAATACGTCAATATATGCATGCATTTTTAAATAATTTTTTATTGCATTCAGTAAACAAACCATAATCCTTAAATCAACAAATTTTTACATTAACAAATTAAATTTTGAACAAAAAATGTTAACATTATAAACATGAAAAAAAAACTTCATAAAACTTTAAACTGCATTTAAATTTATAAATTTTATAAAGAGTGCAATTTATAAAACACACGTGGTTACAATACAAACAAACATTCACCCTGAATATATGAAACTATGTATATAAAAAAAAATAAATTGCCAAACTTCCTTAGAAAATCGAATCAGATAATTAGTTGATAAATTGTTTTGAAAAATACAAGCAAATAAAAAGTAAAGACAGACACATAGACTAGATTTGCCATAGATTTCACTTGTACTTGTAAGTAGAAATGTAATAGTAAATTGTAGCAAATATGGTGTGGTATGACGACGAGTACATTGTTGTTGTTATTGTTGTCTATATAAAATAATGGCAACAAATAATTACAGCTGTTTATTTCTTGTTAACAAGTTGCATGGTAATTATATGCAACTACAACTACATACATATGATATAGAAACAAAATCAAACACAAGTTTGTTGTTGTTATGAACAACAAACAAGGACTTTTTTCTAGGTGGCCATTGGTTTTTTTTGTTGTTAGTATCGAAATAGATTCCACCATTTGTCGGTAAACTCGTGCAAGGATTTTTTTTTTTGCAATATAAGGAAACAATATTTTCATATAAAAGACATGTAGTTTTCTTGTTATTTTTCGGAATAAATGTATCTTAAACATGGCCAACTTCCGTTGGTGGTAGTAAAAAACTAATTTTTTGTTTTGTAATTGTATTGCATTCTTTTTTGAAACGACAACAATAGAAAGAGAATATGGTATAAAATAAATGTTTGAAATTTGTTAAATTGCATTACATCCCTATTAGTTGAAGATATCAACTAAGGTTTTTTTGATAGTTTGGTGTGAGAGTGGGTGTATTGAAAATTAACTTGAATTTAAAAGAATTCATTCTTACACAGGGGAAAATAATATACACGCCTGGTACCAAATTGACACCAAATTTTTCAATAACATCTGTTGTCAAGTATTATTGAAACTATGCACATCCGTTGTCTAAAAGTTTACAAACGTGGTAACACCGAATTTCGTTGTAAATAGTAGGCTTACCACGTTTGTTAACATTTAGACAACAGATGTGCATAAAGTTTAGAATGCGACAACGAATTGTTGCAATGTTGACAAAGTTGCGTGGTCTACATTTCATTTTGTTGTTGTATTTAAATACTTGACAACGGATGTTATTGAAAAATTTGGTGTCAATTTGGTATCAGTCGTGTATATTTTTTTCCCTCTGTGTAGGTTAATAATATATTATTTTTCATAACCAAATCTTGGTGGAGATAGAGAAACCTCATTCTTCTCTTGAAGAAGGAGATTTCTCAAACTTTCCCTTACGATCAATTCATTATAGTTTTGATCCAAAGGATCAGATTTTGATTATAGATATGAAATATTATATCAAGATTTTAACTTTTGTAACAATCGATGTCTTGATATTTGAGGATATTTTAATGATTTAATGATCTATTTCTGCATTTGTTAAGAAATCAATATAATTTTTGGGGGAAATATTTCTTGAACTAAACAATTTGAAAAAGATCACTTTGTTTTATTTCCAAAAAAGATCAAATTTGAATAGTACGATCGTTTCATTCGAAATACCTACCCATAATTTATATGAAATATTTTGTACGAGATAGTATTGAAAGCTCAGATTTTGAAAAAATACTCAATTTTTTTAAACAAAAGATCTGTTTTTGGAATTTTTATGAATAAGAAGTGAATAAGAATAAGCCCACTCGCATCCCACTAAGTAATCACAAAGCTCCTAAAGGAAATGGTCTAAACTTTCATTTGAGCAAAAAAAATCAACAAAAACTTCCATTTTAAAAAACAATTAAGAATTTATAGTCGGTCATGGTTAGGGATGCCAATCGGGACTGGTTTTTAGAAATCCCGGGATTCGGGATTTTTAAATAAATCCCGGAATCCCGATAT